TTTATCATGGTATTTCATCACAATAGTCACATGCACACATATAAATTTCCGTAATGAATTCCGCAGTGTAATTATTGCTGCCCGCGGGCGACCGGCAGATTCGAACAGATGTCGAGGTTTCTGTCGGCAATCAGCAGCACATCTCTAATGGGAGATAGGGAAACATTACCGCTGCAACAAGCGCCTAGTCATCGCGAGTAAGCAGTATCATCATCATCATCATCATCACCATCGTCATCATAATTATCAACCTCCTCCTCCTCCTCCTCCTCCTCCTCCACATCATCATCATCATCATCACCAACAACAACACCAGCATTCTTATCCTATTCATCATCATCATCATCATCATCATCATCATCATCATCATCATCATATTCGTAATCATCATCATCAGCAGCAGCGGCAGAACCACCACCGCCGCCCCCCCCACCACCTACACTACTATTGCTGTGATTGCTGTGAAAAACAAATTTCGTGGTTTCTCTGAAAGTCACTGGCAGCAGTGCATCACAGACGACTGACTGCAGTGCATCTCAACATACTTCGCCGACGAGCTATGTACGTACAAGTGTACATTGCATCGTACTGAATCACGAGCACGCCACTATCTACCTACGGGCCTGCACAATGTTCTTTACGCATGTAATATAACTAATTTCTGAAAAAGGCAGCAGCAGCGGCTGTGATGAGTACACATACACGCGCACGCGTACACACACACGGCAAATACAAGCGGAGGAACAAAAACCTATACATATTCATATGCTGTTGATGCATCAGACCCGCACATACGCAGACGCGCGGACACACACGCACACGCACGGACACACGCACATGCGTGGACACACACGCACACGCGCGGACACACACACAGATACAAAACTAGACAGAAGGCACTCAAAGAAAGTGCATATACCTCCGCGAGAGTGTAACATGTATACATGTGTATGACAGCTGGCTCGTTGCTGGCTGCTGCTGACTGGACGCCCTAAGGCGAGCTGATGCTGACTGGACGCTCTAAGGCGAGCTGGTGCTGAATCGATCGCGCCAACGCTACACACACACACGAACACACACACGAGACCGATTACATTACCTCCCTGCAACTCCGTTGCGCGGAGGTAACAAACATGCGCAAACACGCACGCACGCACGCACGCACGCACACGTATGCACAGATTCCCGGCTAGCTCACCACCAATCAATGCCACACGCAGCCACAGGTTTTCTGTGGAAGCATGTACAATCCGCGTTTACCTTTCCCACAGTGACAAACAGAGGCACAGATGGGCGCCCAGAATGGCAGCGCAGCACCGGACCACACTTACCGGATCACTCACATTCATTCACACACGCACACACACACGTGAGCACATACACGCACGCACGCACGCACGCACGCACGCACGCACGCACGCACGCACGGACGGGCACACACATACGCGCACATATACACGCACGCACGCAGGTACAAGCACATACACACACGCGCGAACGCACGCATACACAAGCACATACACACACGCACGCACACACAAGCACATACACACACAGACACACACACATAGCTGCCGTAGGTTGGTTGCGCTGCTTGTTTGAATCTCTCACGGCAAGTAGCGAGTCATGAGGCGTCCATGACGTCACGCGTGTGCCAGTCATCAGCTAGTTCGCAGCCGATATTGCGAAACTACCCATGACGTCACCCCATCGTCGTGAAAGCCGTTAAGCGGTATGAGACAGCAATAAAGGGCGACTGACTCCAAGTCAAAATCGGAATGATAAACGCACGCGCAAAAAAAACATTTTAAAAATGACAAATCAATTTTCTAAAAAAAAAAAAAATGAAATATGAACCAATGAAAAGAAAAAATGACTCAAACCAATTTTTGTTAATAAAACTCAATGACAACGTCATTTTTCTTAGGCATGGCTGGGCAAGCATAATAACGTTGCTAGATCTCACAAACACCGCGACCTAACCGTATTTTTGTGAGAGCAACCCCATCACACGCGTGCGCTAACAACTCAGGTAGGTCTAATCCCCCAATTAGCAGTAAAGCTTCTCACAATCAGCTTCATTCTGCAGCTACACCGCAACAATGCTCACAGCTGCAACTGCAGCAACAATAGCTCTCACAGAACTACTACCATGACCCGATCACCAGCACCGTACTACCACCCCCTACCCCAGCTCTAAACACCAGCACCGTACTACCACCCCCGACCCCAGCTCCAAACACCAGCACCGTACTACCACCCCCGACCCCAGCTCCAAACACCAGCACCGTACTGCCACCCCCTACCCCAGCTCCAAACATCAGCACCGTACTGCCACCCCCGACCCCAGCTCCAAACACCAGCACCGTACTGCCACCCCCGACCTCAGCTCCAAACACCAGCACCGTACTACCACCCCCTACCCGAGATCCAAGCACTACGGTACGGCGTAAAGATAACAGGAGGCGGGTTATATATATATATATATACATAACAAGCAATAATTATTCTATATAGAGCAGTGACGGTCGGCGGCAGCGGCGTCGGCAATGACGAGCTATTGTTTCGCCGCGCCTTTCATGAGCGGGAACGAGTTAATCGGCAAAATGAGTGAATCTCTCCCCCTTCCCCCATATCGCTCTCTCTCCCTATTCTCACACGCGTGCGGTTCATGGAACAAACCCGCAGTCGTGCTCTCCTCCTCACTGACTCTATCTCTCTCTCTCTCCTGCTCCTCACTCACGCACACACCGATTCTTCTCCCCCGTCCTTCCCGCTTACAAAGCTGCGCGCGACTTCAAAGCGAAACTTCGCCGCGCGCGTGAGAGATACAAACACAAGCGAGCGACTTTCTAATTTATTGAGACAATGCGCACCGCGGACACGTGATCCGGTGACGTTCGCGTCCCTTTATGCAGACGTGAGTATGGCGCTGGCGAAGCCCCCCCCCCCTCTGTCGCTACGCAGCAGCAGCGCGACAATGAGCCGTGAGACAATGGCAATTCAATTAACGGCTGGTGACAGTATCACTGTCGGCTCGCGCATAATTGCTCGGTGCGGTGATGGCAAATTACATCTGCAGGCTGCGGGGCGACGCATTGTGCTTTTGATGTGCGGCGCGCGCGCGTTCGCTCCGCACATTCACCGGCAGCCGCTTTGTATTAAGTGCGCCGTAAATTCATTAGCGCGCCGAGCATAGGGTTACCACCGCCGCCTTTTAAAAGCATTATAATCAGTTTCTTTTCGCCGCAATTCATTTTGTTTCGCGAAGAGAATGGAGGGAATGAGAGCGAGGGCGCGCGCGCGAGAGAGAGAGAGAGAGAGATAGATGAATCTAATTTGATCTGGCATTTCTGGATTTTGATTCAGCTCGATGAGCTTTAGAACTGAACAGTCGCGCGGAGCAGGATGCGGCGGACGGCAGGCGGTCCGTCACCAAGGCAACGTGCGAAGACGAGTCGCCAAGGCGACGGCGTGTAACTCGTTACTCATCGTAGCCGCGTCATTGTTAATTAGATTCGATTCGTTATGAAGTCTAATAGCGGCACGCTTGACGGGTCATGAGCTAGGTGCTGCGCACACAGCGTGCTGTCATTGTGTTAATCTCTGCTCTACCCTCCGCCCCCTCCCTTACCATCCATCACATGCGGCACTAGCCTCTCCCCCTTCATAGGCCCCTCTTCTCCTTGCTGCATCGGCCTGCCCTCATTACCTCGCCCCCGTCTTACTCATCAACTGTTTGGCTCTCCACTAGCCTATCCACTTCCTCATCACCCATTACCCGCCTCTCTACTCCACTCCATTATTCACTATTATACACTCTCCTCCACTACCCCTTGCCTCCACTCCCAGTCCACTACCCTCCCATTTCCTCCCCTTTTCTTCACTACAATCCACTACCTTCCCCTCCTCTCCTCTCAACTACACTCCTTCCATCATCAGCGATTATTCACTCCCACCCACTACCCTTCTTTACTCGTTACTACTGTTTTTATGCTCTTGTTATGCTTATTCTGTTTTAACTCTTTCGCCGACTTGCACGTCAGCCGCACATAATTGACGTATTTGTTTACAATGCACAACGAAATTGCTTCGCGCTGATACCGAAAAACCAATTTACAACTCGTGCCTATTCACACCTACGGACATTGCATCATTTGCAGCGTGTTTCCGATAGTTTTCAATCATGGAGACGAGACTTGTCGCCGGCGACAAATGCACGATCTTTTAATGAGAAATGTTAGTGTGCCGACTGAAACTATTTACAAAAGTGGTGCAATTTAGCGAGTGTACTTTAAAGGCTTCCATCAAATTCATTACTCTAATATAAAATGTCACCCATCAGGTTTGTGGAAATTTCACAAATGACAGGCGGCATGTGTAGCGATTACGACTTTCTCCTGAATTCGACTACATCATGTAGCAGCATGATTGCACGTATTGTCACCATCACAGTTGACTGAGCTTTATTATCCTCGTCATCATCATTGCTATTGTAATTGCCAGCAGCTTTTTTATTATAACTGCCACAGACATCACCATTGCCTCACTGTTGTTTTAGCTGTTCTCAAAACTGCTGCTGTCCTACTTTCACAACTATTGTCACTATCGTTATAAGTAGTATTTTTTATTATTGCTGTCATGTTTATTTTTCTCACCGATAATAATAATAATTGTCGCAACTGTAATAAATATTGTTGCTGAAATTGATAACGCGATCATTGGTATCACAACTGTTGTTACTGTTATTGCATTTGCTATGATAGCTGTGAATGTAATTTTCTTATAATCACTGTTTAAACATAAGATAACTGCTGTTGAAATTGTTATCATCGCTGCATGGACGTTCTCACAGTTATTAGACACGTGTACTAATTAATAACCACCACAGTCTTCACCAATCTACCGTTGCTAACACTGCTTTTGTCTACCACAGATTAGCACAGAAGCCGCAGGATAAATGCCCTCTGAGCTAGCGTGACTGCTAACAGCAAGGATACAATGACTGGTAGAGTGGAATGAGCGAGCGCTTCACGCGGCTGGCGTTGATGGCTGTCGCACGAACCAATCCTGGAAGTACCCGATGATCAACGATCGCACCGTCAAACAGCGGTCCGAAGTACGGGATCTGCAACGAGTACATGGTACACATACTTAAAACAGACACGCTCGAAATATGGAAAGATTATTCATTAAAAAGATAACATGAATAAATGCTGCACTATTGAATGAATGCTTGCATGCTTATTATGCATCTATTGATTTTTTTTCCACGTGTACGTTCCAAGCACCAAGCACAACAACTTTTCCCTTAGGTAAATATTATCAAAGGCTGCTATTCGTAATTCCAAAACATCATTTCGTAGTTTTTCATTTGAGAGAACGAGAAAATGACAAAGTGAGAGTAGAGGCAGAGAGAGTGAGAGCCAGAGAAAGAGCAAAAGAAAGAAAGAGAAAGAGAAAGAGAGCGAGATAGATAGATACAGAGAGAGGGGGAGGAGAGAGAGAGAGTGGGAGAGAGAAGGGAGAGAAAGAAAGAGAGATAGAGAGATGGAGCAAGAAACAAAGAGATGGATCAGACAAAACGGACTAAAGACGTGGACAGGAAAAGAAATTGTGTGACAGGGAAATTAAGAGACAGATAAAAACCTCAGGTTTCTTGCTGATCTGTATTCTGTAGAGCAGGTTTGGCAGCGGATAGATGACAATCATGATGTCGTTGAACTCAGTAGCTATGATGCCGCGTCTGTAGTCACGCGTGTGCTCCGACCACACGATGTGCACCTCGTCGTTGCCCAGGTGCCTCAGCTGAAAGAACGTGAGAAACACATCACCACCCGGGTTTCGCAATTACAACGGCATAACAACGCGTCGTTATTCAGGTGTCGCAGCTCAAACACAGCGCAAAAACAAATGATTACCTAGGCACTGCAGCTATGACACAGCGCAAAAACACACCACTACGCAGGTGTGACAATTAAGGTTTTTCCGCTAAAACAGCATAAAAATATATCTAACCCAGGTTTCTCCATTTAAACAGCTAAAAAATATTTCGTTACCCAGACTTTCCACTAAAACAGCTAATAAAATGTCGTTACCCACAACTTCTCCACTAAAACAGCTAAAAAATACGTCGTTACCCAGGTTTTGCCGTGGAAACTGCATAAAAACGTCTTACCCAGACTTCTTTACTAAACAGCTAAAAAATGTCGTTACCCAGGTTTCTCCGTTAAAACAGCATAAAAATACGTCTTTAGACACGTTTCTCTAGTAAAACAGCATAAAAAAGCACATGACCACCCAGGTGCCGCAGATAAAACTCAGTGTAAAAATACATCACTAACCAGATGGCGCAACTAATACATAGAAACATGTCATTATTCAGGTGCTGCAGTTAAAACAGCGTGAAAACACATCAATACCTAGGTGTCACAGTTAAAACACAGTGTAAAAATACGTCACTACCCAGGTGTCACAGTTAAAACACAGTGTAAAAATACGTCACTACCCGTGTCACAGCTAAAACACAGTGTAAAAATACGTCACTACCCAGGTGTCACAGCTAAAACACAGTGTAAAATACGTCACTACCCAGGTGTTGCAGCTACAGTCCCGGCTAAAATGCGTAAAGTAGTAAATCAGTACGACATGCCTCGAAGTAAATATTCGATTGAAGACCATATCTTTGTGTG